AGTAATCCCTTATGGTCCTAGAGGATTACAAAAATCCCTTATAGGGCTGAAAGAGAAAAAACAAAAAAAATAAAAGATACAATACAGAAGGGGCTATGATAACAGAATATATCAATACTCTCTACACTCCCCCTCAAACTGATGTGAAATCATAAGCATCAGTTTGTTCACAAGAAAGAGATGTCTTACTCTTGTCATAGCCTCAATAAAAATGTTAGCAATCTGCATACCTGAGGCCGCATGAGAAAGAGAAATAGAACCATCAAGGAACAGGTCTTCGATAAAGTGACAATCCACTCAATATGTTTAGTCATCATAAAGAGGAATAGGGGTAGGAAGATGAACACCGAGATCATCAGAAAGGGACTGTAGCCAGACAATCTCGCTGCAGACAGATGACTTAGCTCTATATTTTGCTTCTGTAGATGACTTGGAGACTGTTTGTTGTTTCTTGCACTTCCAGGAAATAAGGGAATCACCCATGAAGACCACCACCCTGTAGTAGAGCGTCTAGTGTTAAGACAGCCTGCCCAATTAGCATCAGCATATGCCCTCAATTGAACAGGAAGAGGAGGAAAAGAACAGGCCCTAGGATTGTGTTCCATGAACATATCAAATAATCCAATGAACAACAGTCAAATGGGGATGACGAGGAGACAGAAACAAACTGACTAACAACCTAAGCCGCATGGGAGGTGTCAGGACGAGTCATAGTATGATAAATGAGATAGCCCACAAGTTGTCGATAGAGTGTGGCATTAGGAAGTAGTGAACCGTCTGTTTTGGATAACTTGCCATTCAATTCCAAGGGAGTATCAACTTGCTTGTCATCAGTAAGATAAGCCAATCAAGAGAGATCGAAGAAAAAGCTACTTGGTAGGCGTCCTTTTCCAGGAAGAAGACAGCTTCTTGGACCGAGTAAAACTCTACTCAAGAAAGGCCCAAACTATGACTGAAAGTAGTTCTTGATCTCTCTAAACAGCTCTTCAAATTCCAGGTTTTAAATCAAAAAAATGCTCTAATACCATGACAACAAGCTGAACAGAAGAGAGTCTAACACCAGGTTTCAGGAGTGCAAGGAATGAATTCAACCCCCACCCCCAAAGAGCCTTTATTATATTATGGACCTAAAGGATTTACAAGTAATCCCTTTTAGGCCTAAAGGATTTACGAGTAAGCCCTTATGGGCCTAAAGGATTACAATGGAAGCCCTTATAGGGCTGAAAGAGAAAAAAACAAAAGAATAAAAGATACAATACAGAAGGGGCTATAATAACAGAATACATCAATACTCTCCACATAAAACACCAGTTAAGATTGCACAGACTTCAGAAAAGATGGAAGATTAGGACTGATTGAAAGAGCTCTAAGAGCAGCACCAAAGACAGCAAAAAACAACCCTTAAACACTCCAAATTTATATCATGACTGCAAGAAATCAAACAGAGAGGAAGCACAATCAGGCAGGCTGGATCGTGACCTGCTCTGGTACCATGACAACTAGTCCACTCATACTCTTGATCTTAGGATTTAAACAGGGAAAGATAGGAAAACAGAATAAAGGAGTTTCTAGAGTTAATTGACCCCCAACCCAAAGAGCCAAATATATATATTAAAGAATATAAGATATGTACAATTACATAAATGCCCTTACAGGGCTGAAGTTAAAAGAATAAGAAATAAAATACAACAGGGAAAATAGTAATACAATACAATACAATCTTAACTCCTATAATCTCTATGTCTACATGCTCATTGGTTTTTTTGAATGGATATATAGATGGAAGTTTTGTTTGATAGGTAAACTTTGGATGTAATATATATTGATAGGTAAATGGATCTTATTAGGTTTTATGCTTTTATTTCTATCTTAAGCTTGTAGAATCTTATTCCATCTATAATGAACAATAAATGGATTATACTTTTGGTTTAATGCCTTCTATTGGTTTCTAGTTTGCAGGTGCTGCACAGTCACTTGGTGCTGGAGCTATCCTAGTAAATCCATGGAACATCACTGAGGTTGCTTCTGCAATTGGCCATGCTTTGAACATGCCAGCTGATGAAAGAGAAAAGCGTCACCACCATAATTTTTTGCATGTGACAACCCACACTGCTCAAGATTGGGCTGAAACATTTGTAAGGTATGGTTAATTGGTCTGGATTTGTCTGTGGGTAGTTTTTTATATTTTCATATGTAATGAAACTTGAAATATATTATTTTAAACTCTTGCTTTGTAAATGGAAATCCTTTTCTTCTTCAGCACCATGTATAAGAAAATAAAATTGATTGGGATAAATAGGAGACCATTATTGGTAGAATTTTACTGCAAACAGAGGGGTGAAAAGGACAAAGAGGCCTAATGATATTCTTCTTACCAATGTTATCTTGGTCTATAGTACTAGTGCCAAGTATTCTGGTGCCCATGTTGGTGCGTCACCTTGACACTCAACCAGCTTGTGTTCACTTTTTATTTTAATAATTTTTTTCTTTACTCTAAAAAAAAAATCTCTAGCATGTACATATAAGAAACTCATGGCATGGGACACATAAATATTGTTTTTCAAGGAATAGGCCGTTGGTATATCTTCTCATGTACTGTGTATTGGAAGGAAAAAAGAAGATTTTTATACATTAAGGGTTTGAATGTATTGGAAACTCGTTCACCTTTTCAACTCTTCAAAATTGCAAATTGCTTCCTTGTGTTGGATATTTGATATAGTTTGAGGAAAAAGAAAAAAAAAAAAACTTTTAGTAAAGTTTGTTTTTTATCTCTTTATGTGCTTTAAAATGGCCTTTCTTTTGATTGATATTTGGCAATTATGGCCTTGGTTAGTAAGTAAACAAAGTTTTGGTACTGCATCTCCAAGGTCTTTCCCACTCTGCACACCAAATGAACCTTGTTTTATGCACTGCTTGTACCTTTGAATATTTTATTCTTGGTTTCTAGATAACTTTTTAACTTTCTTTATGATGTTTGAGATGTGGTGTTTCATGCACTGTTTTACATGTAGTGAATTGAATGATACCATCGTTGAAGCTCAATTGAGGACAAGACAAATTCCACCACTACTTCCAGTTAGGGATGCAGTTGAACGTTATTTGCAATCTCGGAATCGATTGCTCATACTGGTATTCTCTATTTCATACCCTTATTTGGTACTGTCAAAACTTGAAATATCAATGTCACTATATTAAACTCTAGTTCAATAAGAAAACTCTTCCAAATATTTTTCGTGCATTTCTCTTTCATTTAGTTGGTGAAATGACCAGGCTCGAAATTAGGTTTTGTTCCTAACAATTTATCATGTAAATTCTGTTTGGTATTGAACCAATGGACAGGTGTGAAACTCTTGGAATGCCACTCTCTCCTCTTGTTTTGTGAAGTTTTTAGGATTAACAAATGTTGCAGTTTTCTTAGATTGTCACCATGACGATATTGGCAGTGATTTAATAGGCATGCCTAGGTGCACAACTGAGGTGCATTTCAAGGTCTGCACCTTGCCTAGGCCCAGGTGCATCCCCTTTGAAAATGTGTGTGCCTAGTGCACCTGGTGTACCTTGTGCCTCAGCTCAGGCATGCTCCTTCATTAAATTTTGGCTCCAACCCTGGATCCCCAATCAAACCCCTTGAAACAAGCTCAAACATGTCCATGTCAGGGTCTTAAGTTCTTAATCCTTACAAAAGAATGGTTTTATTAATTTAATTCTTTTAAAAAATGTCTTGTATTAAGAAGAATGAATGAACAGCATTAAAAAAAGGAGGTTCTACTCTGCTGGGACCAATATTGGGTAATTTGTACTTCTTGAATCTAGTTTGACTGATATTATGGAAAAGAATCTAGTTTGACTGTAAAATGTTGATTGTTTAACTCCACCTTACATGAAAATCGGATAGTGAGTTTGGGAATTTGTAGTTTGAATAAATAAGGGAGAAATTTGTTATCCTAAGTAAGGTTACATTATGTCTCCATCTATGGTTCAGGGTCCTTTTTCTAGGAGTTTGTCATCATTTAGCTGTTTATTTTACATTTTTTTTACAGCTATGGTGCTTCAAAATTGTAGGGATTCAATGCTACATTAACTGAGCCAGTGGATACTCCTGGTAGAAGAGGAGGTGATCAAATTAAGGAGATGGAGCTTAAGTTGCACCCAGATTTAAAGGAGCCCTTGGCAATACTTTGCAATGATCCAAGGACAACAATTGTCGTCCTCAGTGGAAGTAACAGACGTGTGTTGGATGATGTAAATCTATTTCACATTTCCTTTTCCTCTTTTGTTCCCAAGTATATCATATTTAAAAAAAAATTACTGCATCCACAGAACTTTGGGGAGTACAACCTGTGGCTAGCTGCCGAAAATGGGATGTTTCTGCGCCGTGCAAAGGGAGACTGGATGACTACGATGCCTGAACATCTCAATATGGATTGGGTTGATAGTGTAAAGGTAATTGATGTTGGATTTTCGAAATTTATCTATAATATCTTCATATGGTGTCTTCCAGACTCTAAACAGGTAATGTTCTTGTTGATTTTTCAGCATGTTTTTGAGTACTTCACAGAAAGAACACCTCGCTCTCATTTTGAACTTCGTGAGACCTCACTTGTGTGGAATTACAAGTATGCAGGTACTTGATCAGATGTTTAATTTCTTTTAATTCTGTTTTTTTTTCTTTTCTAATTTGCTTTAATCTTCATTACTTAGATGCTGTTGTTTATTTCCTTATCACCTGTTTGTACTGAAGATGTTGAATTTGGGAGGCTCCAAGCAAGGGATCTGCTGCAGCACCTATGGACTGGCCCAATTTCTAATTCAGCTGTTGATGTTGTCCAAGGTAGCCGATCAGTTGAGGTTCGATCAGTTGGTGTTACGAAGGTGACTTATCCCAAATGTATATGCTTTATTTTCTAGATTCATAATATATTGAAAGACAGGTTTATCTTATTTATTTGGCACATGTTCACAGGGTGCTGCAATCGATCGCATCCTAGGAGAGATAATCCACAGCAAATGCATGGTGACACCTATTGACTATGTTCTATGCGTTGGTCACTTTCTGGGCAAGGTATATTTACCTTCACTATAAAGCTCAGGATGTCTTTCAAGAACTAAAACTGCTCTAGAGTTGTTATGCTTTAGGGTGAAGAAATTTCTATCTTTGTGTTTTGTATAACTTTGCATTTTTATTAAAAAATAGTATAAGGCTACCTTTAGTTGCAAATAAATTGGAAAGAAATTTCAAAAAGAAAGTGACTTGGCTTGGTTTGGCAGAAAAGAGAAACAACATCTTTGAGAAAATAGGAAGATAAATTTTCTCTTCGGCTTGCATTTATTTTCTCTCCAAAATGGTAGACAAAGCAGAGAGAAACAATGAAGAATGAGAGGAAGCAAAACTGGACCCACTACCTCCTAAAAGAAATTCTTTTCTTTTCTTTCCTCTCATTTTCTTTACAATCAGTGTAAGAACAAACAATTGAACACTAAATTTTCATTGGACTTGAGGTGGTCCAATATTGATCTATGATACTCCATTAGCTCAACATGCTTAGTATGGGGTGCAAACCCTAACCCAACCCAAGGTTCTCAACCCAATCATTAGACTAGGATGGATAAGCTGGTCTGTTTTGGAACTTTCTCTGCCGCATTTACAAATAAATTTATAAATACACACATCATCATGTTCATGCAAACACACATATTGTATATGTAGGTCATATATAGACATCGTATTATAGCAACATTTTACAATAAAGCACCTTTTATTACCATCCTCTCTCCTTTTTCACATAAACATAGTTATATACAGTGTTTAGAAAACCAAACCGGACAAGCCAATCAGACTGGTTGAACTGTGACCTAGCACCTAGGGCATTGGCTGGTTTGGTCATACCGTAGAAACCAGATTTGATAGAAAACTGGTCAAAACTGGCTGACCAGTCGATTTAACCAAAGAACCGGTGTTCATAAAACCACCTGAGTCATTGAATGACTTGAAATTTCAAAATGACAATGGCAAGTCTTGAAATTTGCTTTAAAAACTATGGAATTAACCATCTATCCACCACATTCAAGTATGATATTATGTGTAAAATATAATATTAATTCTGAAGAAAAAACTAAAATTAAAATTTTGATAGTATATAGAATAGGATACATGTATGCCTACCTGTATTTCTATGATAGATCTTAAGGGTTGAACTAGGGGCAATTGGTTGCTGTGGTAAACTCTCAGATTGGCAAGCATGAGAATGCATGTTCCTATCTGACAATGGTTACTCTATGCCAAAATGCCAAAGGTTCATCTCCTTTCTCCCTCTCCCAAAGACCTTGGACAGATGGGGCCAACATTGGATAATGACCCTTTTATCTTGAGAGTTGAAGTTATTTTATTCATCTTTTCTATCATTGTCCATATCCTTACCTTAACTAGGTAGCTTAGGTGTTTGTAAATTTCACTAAGGTAGAGTTGCTTTCTACTATGACTTTCACTAAAACCAAAATATGAGATGTATTGGTCTTAGTTAACAATTAACCATGTTAAGATGAAATGTTCATGAGGCACATGAGGCGTATGCCTCTAGCACGCCTCATAAAAAGGTGTACGCCTCTGGCATATGCCTCAGGGCATTTTGGGGGAGCCTCACGCCTCCAGGCGTAGTATGCCTCCCATGCCTTTTAAAACACTGGTACAAATGCATGGGAGTGCAAATGAAAAAAAAATGTAAATTTTTGCTTAATTTTGTTTTGGGTTTTACTTTATTATGCTTCAGGTCTTAATTTACTTGATTTGCACTGCAATCAAACAAAATAAGCTAAAATTCGAAACAAAAATAGGTCAGAATTTACAGTCAAATCATTTGCACTGCCATAGTTTTGTATCAGTGTAAATTTATTTTCATTGCAACAAAACACAGCACAAAAACTTACAAGTGAACACCTTGTTTCTCCACATTATGAATGTAACTAGAATGTAAATAAAATCATCTTTTTATGAATAATGGTTGTTGTGGTAAACTCCATTGGATGAAAAATATAAAAAGCATCTCTCATTGTACCTTAGGCTCAGTTTGGAAGGAGTACAAATACAAATTTGTAGAGTACAAAACCTTGCATTTTATATTTTTTTGTATGTATTTGTACTCTTTCCAAACTGAGCTTTATTTTTTTTTTTCTGGTATTCAACGTACCATAATGTTGATCAATTAGGGACATCTGCCAACCATCTATCAATGAGAACATCACTTGTTTCTGCAATGAAGAAAAAAGAATATCACTTGTTGAAATTTTATATATGTTTCCAGCTTATTCATATTACAGTAGCACAATGTATATTAATTTAACCCTAAGGTACACCCCAAAGTTATAGACACAAGTTCATGCGTTCCTTATGATAAGGCCCAAGTCCCCAGCCCATCACCAGCTTTAGCCTAGCTAGCTTACTACCAGCCCAGAAGCCCCCCATCAAGTATCTATACATTAAGAAGCCACGTTAGAAAGCTTGAGTCGTGTGCATAACAACCATGCAAGAGACGTGATGTGGTTTGTTATGTAATAAAGGATATAAGTGTAGAGAAGATGGGTGTTAATATTGTAATTTTACCTTTCTTTTATTTCTCTTTTGTACACTTCTGTATTTTATTATTCTCGTAAGGACAAGAATGTCCATTTACACAAATATATATATATATTTCTTTTTGGGTGTGTGAGACAAGTGTAACACCCCACCAAATCATGTTTCTCTCATTTCCTCTCTATTTTGACTGGAACTGACATGGTATCAGAGCAGGTTGCTATTTGATCAGGCTCTTGTTTGTTTAATACTTTCTTTACGTAGTAATCTCATTTCCATACTGGGATTCATTGCATTCTTCTTTTGGTGGAAGAGTGTAGGGCTGTTTTGGTCAACCCTACTTGCTGTTGCACAACCAGCAAGAGAGATTTCATTAGATCTCTCGTAGGAGACTTCAGATCAAGGCCAAACTTCAGATCTGGTGTCACCTAGACCTGATATCTCTTCCTTATAAACAGATCTTGTTGTGGTGAAGTTTTTATGGAGTTTTGATCTTCTTCCTCGGGTGGTTGCTACTTATAGTTTCTTTGTTTAGACTGTCGCTCATTCGAACTCAAGTTTTGGGCTTATTTTGCTTGCTCTAAGATCTTCAGTGACTCCTGATGATTATCTAACTTATCTTTAAGGTATTCCTCTTGTTTTTTGGTGGCTATTGTTAGTCACTCTTGTTGTTTTCTTGGTTTCTTGGCTGAATATGGGATGCAAAAGGAGTGATTTCATCTCTGTGAAGTTTGATGAAACAAACTATGCCCTTTTAGAAATTTCATTTCCAGTTTTTTTGTTGAAGGAAAGGGTATTTGGATGGTATCACAACCATCCCTGATAATACAGATGTTAAAGGGCTGAATCAATGGAAAATTGATAATGCCCAGATAGTCTTCTAGATATTGAGTTCGATTACTGTTGATGTAGCTGATGTAGCCAAATCCACCCTCATTACCACATGATGACTCGTGGCACACCCATGGGGGCAATCTTGTCATCTCGTAGACCCTTGGGGGCATCCTCATCTTTTCACCCTCAGATTAATGCGGAACCTTGGTAACAGGCATGACTACCTAGAGAAAATCTATCAGTAACATGTCTATGCAATATCAGATTGAAATGGACATTCATCAAAAAAATATCAGATTGAAATGGACATAATGTCATACACTCAGGAGGAGAGAAAGATCTAGGAATACTATGCTGGATTTAATCTATGGACATAACATGAACTTTTTCAACTTGGGGCTATCACTACCGACTGTTATGTGAAGACTATGAGAAAGCATTTTTGGTCAGAGGAAAATCATACATTTTCTAATGCATCTTAGACTGGATTATGAGATGATAAGGTCTAGCATACTTAGTAGGGAAAATGTGCCTAATCTAGAGACTATATTGGGTGATCTTCTATGGGAGGAGACCAGACTGTACACACAGTACTCTCTTTGATAGCAAGAGAGAACATGGCCATGACATAGTGGTTCTAGCCACCAAACTGAAAGGGAAGGACTTTTCCTAGATACAATGTTATGAATGCAAGGAGTTTGAGCATGTGGCCTCTCATTGTAAGAAAAAAAAAAAAAAAAAACTTGTATACCTACTACAAACAAGGTTATATAATCATTGAACGTCCTACTCGGCCTCCCAAGAAAGGTCAGCACAAGTCACTTTAGACAATTGCAATGTCTTCATTTGATGGTACTCCTTCCTCCATTTCAGATAAAAAGGGGGAATCATTCGGCACTTTGATTGAGGAAAAGATATGACATCTTATGTCTTCATCCATTTTATCTACTTTTTCTACTATTGGCCTATTTGGTAAGTCCTCTACTACTTATTCCTCTCCTAGCCATATGTATTGTGGATTATTGATTTGTTGCCTCAAATCATATGACTGGGGCCTCCTTTGGTCAAACTCCCAAACCCTACTCTTCTAATGACTAGATTGTCACTACTAGTGATGAGTCACTGAAAATTTCCGATTGTAATGATTTATTTCTTCCTACTTCTCAGTCATCTCCCAAAAACATTCTTTATTCCTTAGTTAATAACCAATTTTATATCTATGTGACAACTTGTTGATGATAGTAACTTGGTTTTATTTTCTCGTGATGGTTGTGTTATATAGGACCAGATCACTTGGGAAGTGAAGGGGAAGGGGCATAGGCTTGAGAGTCTATTTGCTCTTGAGTTTGAGAAGAGACCTTCATATATAAAGGTGCAAACTAGGCGGGTTGGGCAGGGCTTATGGTCAACCTAGGCCCAAGCCTAAAATTTGGGCTTAAGTCCCGAGCCCAAGGTCAAGCCAGATCTTCCCAACCTGAGCCCAGCCTGCATTGCAATTTGATGTTCTCAGGTTGGGCTCGGGCTTAGGCCGGGCTCAAGTTGGTCAATGAACCCACTCTAAAATTATATATGTATATATGCATTTATGTAAATATGTATACATATATGTATGTAAATATGTATGCATATATATCTGTGTGTGTGTGTGTAAATGTGTATGCAAAATTTACATATATACATACATACATACATACAATATATATATATATATATATATTGTATGCATGTATGTATCAGTGTTTTAAAAGGCGTGGGAGGCGTACGCCTGGAGGCGCACCTCCAGGCGAGGTGCCCCCAAAACGCCCGGAGGCACATGACAGAAGCACCTAGACCATTGAAGCATACGCCTCAGGTATAGAGGCGTGGGCAGAGGCGTACGCTTCTGGCATGCCCTTGGAAAGAAGCTTACGCCTCCCATGTGTGTAAACATTTAACAGATTGTTTGTTTTAATTTTTTAATGTTCTAATTGCTGGAGCCACGATTATATCATGGCCCCCATTGTATGCAACTATTTTTTAAGTCTAAGAGGGGGAAATATCCCTCTTTCGAACCCAAACTTTATGGCTCGAAAGAACTCTGAACTGTGAAACCTCTTGCTAAGTGTGAACTGCAAAGAACCTCTACTCTGTTCCAATGTTCAACCTGCAACTTCGACTTCGAGAAATCTGGTCTGGTATGTGTTTTTTTTTTCTTCTCCTTTCTTCTTCTTCTTCTTCTTCTTCTTCTTCTTCTTCTTCTTCTTTCGCACTTCGCAACCTGCAACTTCTTCTTTCTTCTTCTTCGAGTCACCTGAAATTTCTCAGATGTGATCTTACTTTTTGTATTCTATTTTCAATCGCAATCGAACTATTGAAGAGAGGTTGCTGCTGAGCCAACCGAGTAACCAACCAATCTGGGCGGCTGTGAACGTGACAAAGCTGCAATGGTTCTTTTTTTTTTTTGGAAATAAGTTTCAACGGTTAGTAACTTAGTACTTAGTACTTAGTAGTTGTGTTCTTCATTTCTGTATTCTGTTGTTTCTTTGTTTCTTTGTTTTTTTTTTCTTGATTTTAGTAGTTTTGTTTCAGCCTTCTTGAACAAAGTTGCATGAATAAATTATGTAATCTGTTGATTCTGTTCTTCCTATTTTTTCTTTATTTTTTTTGTAACACATTTAATGGACCAAATAGGCCAAGAGGCCCAAGACCCAACTGTTGGCTGTAACTTCATCAGTTCAGCCTTTTATTGATTTTGCTTCTTTTGAATTTGATAAATGATTTATTGATTTTTCTTGTGAATTGTAGAAACTGAATGCTTATAATCTTATAGAAAGTAGATATCTGAATTAAATGATAGAAATTATAATGTGTGAATTTTGACTGAGTTTTAGTCCTTAAGAGTTTTTTTTTTTTTTTTGTGATCTATGTTGCATACTTGAATCAATAATTGTATTTCACATTTTCACTATGCTATATTGCTGGTTGGTGTTGAAAAATTGAGATTTATAACTCAAATATTGATTGAAATTAAGTCATTTTCGTGTTATATATGTTTTTATGCTTAAAATATCTAATTTTTATTAATATACCCACTATAATTATAAAAAAAAATACATACTTGAGGCTTACGCCTCACACCTCCGGGTAGTGGAACACCTCGCATCACGCCTCCACATTTTAAAACACTGGTATGTATATTTTGTATGTATGGTTGGGCCGGGTTCAGGCTACTAAAGGGCTAGGCCCGGGCCCAACCCAAAAAATAAAAAAGCCCAACTTCTTGGGCCTGAGCCCAGCCCAGCCCAAAGACCGAAAATCCAAACTCAGACTGTAAAATTTCGGGCTGAGTAGGTTCAAGCTTGGGCTAGGCTAGCCCATGCTGCACCTCGATTCATGTACAGTTTCTTGTTTCCTTTCTACTACTAGTGATGTTTTGCATTCTCATTTTAATAATGTGTGGCATTTATAGAATAGACATTTAGGCCACACACATGATAAGAACTTGGATCATTTATTTGCTTCTAGTTGCTTCCCTATTGTTTCTTCTGTTTCTAAGAACATTAATAAATCTTGCATAACTTGTGGTGTTAGCAATGGTCATATTTTGCCTTTTCCATATTCTGATTATGCTGCCATTCCTTTTCAAATTATACACAGTGATGTTTGGTCATTTAATGTTATATTAGAATTCACTGTAGATATTTTGTGTTATTTATTGATGATTGCACTAGATACACTTGGGTTTATTTTTTTCGAAAGAAATCAGAGGTTCTTTCTACCTTCCAGCACTTCCACACTATGGTAATGACCCAACATAATGCCACCATTCACATTTTACAATCGGATTCAGGGGGAGAATATTTTGATGGGAAAACAGAGAATTCCAGACATGTCTAAAGAAGCATGGTATTTTTGTCCCAAAAATTTTGCCCAGGAACTCCTCAACAAAATGGAGTTGTTGAACGCAAGAATTGACACATCTTGAGCATGGTGAGATCCCTTTTTCTTGAATCCCACGTCCTTGTTACCTTTTGGGTGGAAGCGACCAATATTGTTGTATATCTCATTAACATCATCCCATCTTCAGTTCTTGATAATCAATCACCATTTTATTGCCTCTTTCATTGTTCACCAAGCTATTCTATACTTTTTGTCTTTGGTTGTTTTTGTTTTGTGCATCTCCCTCCCCATGAGCATACTAAGCTTATTGCTCAATCGAGTATATGTGCCTTCATGGGTTGCAGTTCATAACATAAGGGCTTTTTCTGCTATGAACCTAAAGTTCGTCGTCTTTGCATATCTCAGAATGTTATCTTTAAATATATCTTTCTTTTAACATATTGTTAAATTACCTGCACCATCCTTCTCTATTTTGTATAACTTTGTCTCTGCAAATGATTCTGAATTTCCAATACTACCCCTTCCAAACCTACCTTAGGAAGTATCCAGCTACACCAATGCCTATGCCTCCTCATCATCAAAATAGAGGATGGAATATATAGTGAATGTTCAATACAATTATAATTAAATACTCTTATGCATTGAGGCAGATGGCATATATAGGAAGATTGCTTCTATAATGGAAATTTTGTGCTTATTATTGGAATAGAAACGGATGGGCCGGATGGCATAATAGTGAATGTTCAATGCAATTATAGCTACATACTCTTATGCATCTTTATCCACTTTTAAATCAGTTAATCCTCTTGAAACTTGCACCAAATATAAGAGTTTTAATTTGCTTGGATGCCTAAAGTTCAAAATGACACTCCAATGGGTTGATTGCTGGATGAAGAAGCACAGAAACTAGAATATAAGCTTTGACTTCATGTCTTTCTAGCTTATGACTCATGGTGACATATTCTTTCTGTTTTAGGATGAAGATATCTATACTTTTTTCGAGCCAGAGCTTCCTGCAGAACCATCAGGTAATACAAGAGCCAAGGTAGCTGATGCAGTAAAGACACCTATTGAAAAACGTCCTACACCAAAACTCTTAGCAAGCAAAAATGCATCCAAGTCATGTCATGGTAGGACACAGCGGGCATCAGTGACCCCTGAGAAGAAAACAACCAATCATGTCAGTGGGTCAGTGTTGCAGCATCCACAGGACAGTATCCCACGGCATGAGGGTTCTGTGCTTGATCTCAAGGGAGAGAATTACTTTTCCTGTGCTGTTGGGAGAAAGCGCTCCAATGCACGGTATCTCCTCAGTTCATCAGATGGCATTGTCACATTTTTAAAGGAGTTGGCAGCGGCTTCTTCCCGGAGTTAAAATCTTTATGAATTGCTTCTTGTGATGGGTTCTCCAGATTCAACCTGGCAATGAATCCTCAAGATTTGGTGGGGGTGATAGCAAAATGGTTATTCAATTCTTTTCTGAGGCAAATATTGAGTTCTCCCATTCTTCTCTACCTTTTTCACCATTCTAAATGATTTGATAGTCTAGGATTCTTGCTGTGGGTGAACTCACTAAGTGCTTCAATGTTAACAGGATTAAATTAATCTGAATCACAATCTTTTGTTCTGAATACTAATGGAAAGAAAGAAAAATAAATGATTCTTGTCCTAAAACAGAAATTACAAATGGGAGTAAAATCCTTCTTTTGGCCCACCCTGTTTGTACAATTATTGAACACATGTTGCCAAAGTTGTGGGGATTTCAACACTTGAAGCAGAATAGTTGGAACCAATTAAATTTGAAAAGCAATGATCAGAATGATAAAATTAGGATTGAAAAACAATGATCAGAATGACAATTAAGATTGAAAAATCTGCAATAGAACTCCCATCATCTGTGTGCTCAACTTCTGTCTACTTTGCGTGAGTGTATAACCTTCTCTGTCTTTCATGCTTCCAAGTGGCCATTTGATAACACCTGAAGTGGCAAAACTGAATGTCTTTGTCTCTTTGTGAATAAGTTATTAAGAAGGTTGTGAGGCTGAAGCTGATGCTTAGTTGATTGCTATTATGCTATACGCTTAAACATTTTATTATTTATCTATTTTATATATCCGCTAAAGAACAAAGAAATATCATTTAGTTTTTGTGTAGCCACTTAAGCTGTTACCAACCAGCTTGAAGTGTCTCCATGAGGTTCGCCTACGAAACAAAGGGAGAAGAAGAAGCTAATAGAAAACATACATAAAAGACTAAAGAAATGATTGAAAAACTTAAGTTGTATTGAAATATATTAAGAGCGAAAGCAAGACAAAGAAAAAGAAACAATGGGTACTATTAACTAAGAGACTTACAGTTAACCTTCTACAATTATTATGCCTTCATTAATTGTTGAGGAGAGTGGAGCGAGTTAAGATGATCTGAATGTATAGATGCCACAAACAAATAAGAACGGTACCATTACCAACTAATAGTTGTTAAGTTGGTTGCTCCAACTTAATATCAATTTTATCCAAGTATGAGGATTGTTTCAGATTCATTTCATCCCCTATACTTTCACCATTCAGAATCTCAGATCAATCTGAAATCATTCTATTATCACATCTACTCACAGGTTATAATTATTCAGTGTGGAGCCAAACGCCAAACTATGTTCATGTCACCAAATGCCAAGAATATAATTAGTTCCAGTGATGGGACGATTGCCAAATCGGTTTCTCCGTTGAATCCTAATTTGCAGCAGTGGATAGTGGTGCAATTGACCCCATGGTCTAATCTAATCCAATTCAATCCAATAATGCCAAGCTTCCACAAATAAGGCATCTTCTGTTGTGGGTGAAGCATTTCTTTTGAAAGCTTGATTTGAACTGATAGGGGTAATTTCGTAATAAATAACCATGGGCGCAGGCCCTTAAACATTTTCTACTTGGTTTAAGTGATGGAAGTTGGATTAAGTAAATCGGTTTTAAACTAGGGTTGTCAATTGGACTGGCTTTGTTCCAATCTGATCCAGTCCAATGTGAGTCCATTACAAATGGACTAGGTCCAATCCAATCCAATGAATATTTTGGACCAGTCCAATTCAATGTCTAGACCATCCAATCTGTTTAAATTTGTTTTAATTTAGATTAATTTTAATCCAAACCTGGTCCATTGACACCTATATTCTTATCTTCTATCAATGGACCAGATATTGGCTCAACCCAACCCATTCCAATATAAATTCATTATGGATGGAGCAGGTCCAATCCAATCCAATAAATACTTTGGACCATTAAGTCTGGACTGGTCCAATTCAATATGTCTTGTTGGTCTGTCCAATTCGTCCAAATTGATTTTGGTTTGGACGGGGTCCAATCCAAAACTAGTCCATTGACACCACTATTGTAAACTATAAATGGTGGTTTAGCAAGACGCAAATTGTAGGGTAGAATTTAGTAAAAAACATGAAATTACAGGGGATTTAGTAAATAACCTTTTTTTTTTTTTTTGTAAAGATCTTAAAAACCTTAGAGAATGATTGATACAAAAACCAAAGAGGGTCCTCTTTTTCCCTCTTTTCTGTTCTTTTCCATAGTCAATATCAACATAAAAAGTACTACTCCCGAGGGGAAGATGTGACCTAGTCAGAGGACAAGGATATATTGTTGTGACTTTCGATGGTTTTTAGTAGACCTGGTCATGGGCTGGGCTCAGGTTGAGCTTCTACTAAAATTTGAATGAACCTATCTTGAAATGTGAGCCCAAATCAGTATAAAATGTTAATGGACCGAGATCAGGTCTAGTTCTCAATTTTTTTTAAAGTTCAATAGGTGCAATACTCAATGAAACTAAAACACTTGATGGTGATCACGCATGCTCCTATTCCATTGGCATGCGTCGTCTCAAAACTTTTCTTCCTTTTTTTCATTCTTTACACATTTATGTTCATAGTGCCATTGTTGTCTAAGTTATTCTTGTTGGTTCTGTTATTTATTTTTGTCTGGGTGAGGTGGGGGTTATTGGCGCATCCCATTTTTAGGGCATGTTTGGTTTGCTGGAATAGGGGTCTGGAATCAGAATTGCAATGGGTCAATCCAATTCCAACTGTTTGGTTGGGTGGAATTGGAATCCCATTCCCATTCCCATTCCCATTCCTGGTGGAATGGTATTCCCTAAAATGAGGGAATGGCCATTCCCTCCCCCACCCTTGAGAATGAAATCCAATTCTAGCTTTATTTCAATTCCCACTCCGATTCCTGTCTGAACCAAATAGACTATGGGAATAGATCATTCTGATTCTGATTTCAATTCCAACTTTGAATGAAATGGACCCTTCATTTTTATTTTGTTTTATTTATTTATTTATTTATTATTATTATTATTATTATTATTATTATTATTATTATTATTATTATTATTATTATTTGAAGTGGGAATAGCAACAATACTAATAGTTGTATGTCAAAAATTATTTTAATCTTAAGGGCAAACACCCCCTTAGTTTACTTTTTCCTTAAGCCACTTCAACCTCTAGAGGATCCTCCCTAACCAGAAACAGAAAAGCAGCTTTTCAATTTGAAAGAAGGAAAAAAAAAAGGGGGATTAGCAATTCAATAAGAAGAGGGAAACTTTCTTTTCTTTTGAGTTTATGCTTCAGAAACAGCACATGCCTTTGACAAAAGAGGCAACCATGTCTGTTTCAAGACCTGTAGATGACAAAGCAACACCCCCTTTTATGGGATTTTTCTAGTGAAATCTTGACATCACAACAACTTCCAGGAAAAAAAAAAAAAAAAAACAATTTGTGATGGGCCATACAATTAAGCTGAATGATAGTTCAATTTCGCAACCTCGTATCTCCAACTGGCTTAAATAGGAGAAATCACTTAGCAACCTTGCCTGATGGGAATCTTCAATTTCTATATATATAGCCTTTGCAACATTGCCTGATTTCCAGTAAATAATATGAATTCAGTGGTCTTAATACGTTTAATAAGTTTCTAATGGGAATCATCAATTCAAAAGACCTAGAAACAGTGGTGGTGAAGGAAGTTCTGAAATCCCAAGAGCTTCAAGTTAAATCATAAGCCTCAACACACTTGTGATGGCTATTTAGTACCATGGCATTGGGTTGCCATTGCATTTTGGGCTGATCAATACAAATTTGTGAGAGATATTTTTCTAGTTAAAATGTTTTTAAATCTTTCTGAGTTGATCAATACAAATTGCTATTTATACTTAAATTGTCAAATTTGATATTTCTCGCATATACCATTTTTCTGGTTGAAATAGCACTCATATATGATATGATAATGCATATTTCTCACAAATTTGTATTGACATCATATTTGGATATTGAATCATCATCATCTAAGCCTTGTTCTAACTATACAGGATGAGCTACATGAATTTTATTTCATCATTCCATATTGTTTAGTGTCCTATTGATTGTTTGATTTTAGATGTTGAATACAATTAATAATAAACTAACATTGATATAAATGTTATATGTTATTAATAGAAAAACTAAAAATGAATTTTATATTATATATCATGAACAAAGTGACATGAACCTATGATTCTTTCATACAAATACAATATAAAAACTAACTTTACTCATAGTTGCATATTAATTTTATGCAAATACAAATATAAATGTAAATACTTAAGTTTTATCACCAGGATTCAAAATATCGATACATCCAATACACCGGTAGGGGCATATCGGACGAATTGACACACATTTTTGTGTTTTTTTTATTTTTATTTTTTCTGAAACCAGTTCGGGGGG